AATGGGACGGATACGGCAGGGCTCGAATACTGCTTCCAAGCCCGGAAGGTGCATTTAACAGGACCGTAAACTACCACAGAATTGTACCTTGGGATAAATTATAGCTCACCCTCAGCATCACCTTTCTGTGGTACTTACTGCCATTATGTGTTGGCAGTTCAGTAGGCTACAGAGCTACCAATATATATTTGACAAACTACTTTATTCATTTTTGATATTGACGGCTACAAAAATGGGGAGAAGTGCAATGAAGCAAAGCTGCATATTTTCAGATTGCTATAAAATGCCCTAAAATAATGAACAATTTAAAACATAAGATAATTTAAAGCACCATATTTTGAGATAGAAGCTATTTGTACTGTGATCTGTTTCTTCTGTTGTTCATAAACAAAGTAATTTATATAAAATCAAACAAACCATAAACTCATACGTCCATCTACTATTCTTCATCACTAACAGAACGAGAGGTGGGCTGGGATACAGCCTGTTCCATAAAACTGACTGGCCTATAATTTTAAGCCCTAAATCCCGTAATCAGATTCAGTAGTACAGCCCTGCACCTGCAGAGCGCCTCACGGGTCTGCCAGCGGCAATCTAAGAGGTACCAGATCCTCCTGGAGGATATAAAGATTTAACTAAACTGAACAAAATTTGGTTTCTGAATGAAAGTTCATTCTATGCTTATAATTGGAAAATATAAAAGAAGACACGGGAAAATTCATAATTAGGCTTGTGATTTCATTAAAGTCGGTAGAGTCATTCCAAATTAATAATGGCATAAAAGCAATCCAAACTTGGCCTTTAAGGTTATATTCTATTAGTTTGCTAATACCATGTAAATTCTATATTTGAGATGTACCCTGCAGTCATCTTGGCCCTTCTTTTTTAAAGGAAAGTTCTGCTTAGAATCTGCTGATACAGCTTGGGCCGTTATTTTGTAACTTACTTTTAAATCAAGACTGATAGGAGCCGTATTTGTGTCTATGGACAACATCAAGCAAGAGAAAGGAAAGTGGTGAAATTTGTTTTCAAGCTGCCAGTTCCAGTTAAAGAACTATGCAGAAAACACACACAAAAAAATCCACCATAAAAATCATGTATACGATTGGAAAAGATATTATACTAGAAACATCAGTTCCATGCATCTTTATGGATTGTGAGTACCAACCATTAAAAGTCGATACTGTCAGCCATTTGGCGTATTTGTTGGCCTGACATGTTTATACAGCGCGTCTAGGCCAGGCACAATCTATCTCACTACTTTCATAAAGTGCAGCTTGGGCTTAATGAAAGAAAACCTAGAACAGCAGCAATCTGAAAAGTTGCAGAAGTGAGATACTGTCTGGGTTGCATATGGGAATACCTTACTGTGTGTTGTCCCACTCTGGACCTAAAATGGCTGTTTTGCAGTGGATGTTGTTGCCTGGTGACGAAAAGTGCATCTCCTAGGTCACAGAGGGATGTGAACATTCGGAAATTGATTTGTTCCTGTTGCTCTTGAGGAGACCATACCCATAAAATAGATTAAGCCAGCACATAATCATCTATACATTCTCCTTGCTGGCATGCTTAAACTTGATATTGAAGATAGGCCTGTGAGTTTGAGCTACTTACCAACCAGGCAAGGGAAAAACAGGATAATACCTTGTGCGCTACTGCCCACAGAATATGAAAGTAGACCAAGCCTCAGCTACTGTGAGACTGCAAGACACCCCTGCTTCAATTAAGTCTGTGTTATACATCTAGCCTGTTCCGGTGCAACCTCCCAGTTGCTATCAGGCTCTCTTTCTTTCATTAGAATCAAGTAGTTAATTAGCCCCAGCCTGTCCTCTCTCCTTCCTTTCCCTTTAACGCAGCAGTAATGATGTCTAATTACCAGCAGCAGTGGATTACAGCACCATCAGGAGCAAATCTCCCTGGCTGACAGCAAAGCTGAGCAGCAAATCTTAAAGCTTCAAGGAGAGAATAATTCCTAACAAAATATTTGAATATTTGCTTGTTTTTGACCAGCTTGTGACTGTAGAGTCCAACTTCTAATTTCATCCATCCTGTTACTGCAGAGGGAGCGCTCATGCTGCCAGCAGTGATTAATTTTAAATTGAAATTACTTTTACCTATGGTGAGATCAAGTGACGGACAAGAAGAGGGAGAGGATGAGGGAGAGATTCACAGTTCGGGGATCTGTTACTGTTCGTGGCTCTCTGCAGACTGGACGAGCTCAAATGTACAGGATAACGACGAGAGAGGGGAAAAAAAACCCAACAGCAAGGATGTTTCTAAATGGTCATAAATTAATAAACTCTTAAATAATTAGTAAGTTAAAGAAATGAGAGAATGGGCTTTTAGGGCTTACCAGCAATTACTGATGAAAATCCAATCTTTCCCCCTGTACCTTATCATTCCTGGCTGGGTAAAATCCTAGGCCTCTTGAAGTCACTAGGAGCTTTGCCACTGGCTTTTTCCAGGCCAGGGGCTGCACCCCTGTTCTGTCAAACGGGTTGTTTCAGAGCCTTCAGCGCCTGGCAGGCACTGCCCCTGCCCTGGCAATAGCTCATACAAACCCTTGCCACCCCACGGGTCTACTTAAATACTCCTGTGCCTTTTGTGTTGGGATAGTGGCACCAGATTCATGGGTTTAGGAGGGGGGCGGCATTTGTTTCTCAGAGCTGGCTGTTGTATAAGAGTGCTGAGTATCAACTTCTCTCATTTATGTTGGACAACAGATTTATGTTGGCCAGCAGGAGGAAATTTTACCTACATGCAAGACCTTTTCCATAAGGGTTTATATGCCATTGTTCAAGTAAGGTACAGATATTCAGGAATTGCTTACAGATAGATCACGCTAGCTTTCCTTTCTTGATTTTATTAGCAGGCATTCTTATTTTATTAGGATGCCTGCTTGGTTGCTTAAGCTATCTAAAGATAGTTACTTCTATATGGCTATAAATACATATATAGGGACATACAGAGACATTAACAGTTGACTGTATGATTCCCCCAAATGAACAAAGGTAAGACCAGCAAGGCGCTCGACCTCTGACTGAAATCTCCAAAGGAAAAAAAAATGAGAAAAATTTTGATTATTTGATCTGAAAATAAAATAGAAGACGGGATGCAAGGTGGGACTGCAGGCTCTCATGGCCTAGCAAAGGTGAGAATTAGACAAGCTGATCATCACTGAGTCATGTGTTTCAGAGGCCCAGAACAGCACTTAATTTTTAAATTCCGTCTTGTAAAATTAAGGTTAGCCTTTTTATTTAGTAGCGTAGTCAATGTAATTTTAAAAAATACTGAATTTGCTTACAGTTTTGAACTTGCAGTGAAAAGGATAGTCTTAGGAATAAAAGATCATGCCTACTGGCTCTCCAAAATTATTATTCCAGTAAGCAGAAGAGAGATTAAAAAATACTGACCTAATTGGAGACTTCTGCTTCAGACAACGTTTTCGCTATAAATTGTATCTACAGTACCCTCTGGGGTCAGAGATTAGCACCCAGTCATCTAACGGTAGAACAGAAATCTGCCAGGTAACCTGGATCTATAGGCAGACCTAGAACGCTTTGGTGAATAAAAACCATAGAGAAGGAACAAACTCTGTCCAGAGCTTCTCTTTCACTTTCAGTCTTCGTATTTATAAACTCCTTAAAATTAATTTCCCACCTCTGCCTCCTCGCAGCCATGACGGCAGTGATGACAAGGGGGCAAATATAAGCCGGCACCCGGGAATGCCCAGGTTTATGACTTCAGCGAGGCAGAGGCAGGCAGATTTCCCCGGCAGCCTACGTCACAACCCAACCCAGAATACTTTCCAAGAAGCCCCCTTTGCTGCACCGCCCAGCAACCTTCCCGTTAGGTCAGAATAAGCTGCCGCTCCAAAGAAAAAAAAAAAAAAAAGAAAAAAGAAAAAAGAGAATATTGCTCATCCAAGCCAAATGCCCAGGCAGGAATATTTTTAATTGCCAGGTTTCCTTTCTCGGCTCCCCTTCCCCGGCCGCCCCACGCGCAGACAAAAGAAGCTTAGTTTCCATGACCCAGAGCGTAAGAAGTAAGAATAATGATACATTAAGAGAGTTCAATAGGCAAAACCTACTTGCAGCCAACAGTCCCCATCTTCTTAAATAGGAAAATCTGTCGCTTCTGCCACCACCAAGCATAATAGCTCTCCCGCTGTCAGACCAGCGCCGAGCTCTGCAGCTCCAGCGCCTGCCGGGGGGATGCCACGCTACCCTGGCGCATCGAATTGAGTTTTAAGCCTTACGGCTGCGAGACTCGGGCAACCCCAGAAAGAGGAACAAAATACACCCTTCCCTTCGGGCAGGCGGCACCCTCTCTCCCTTTGTGGAGCATCCTCTCTCCCCGCCGCCGTTACTATCGCGGCCGGCGCTTCACCGCCC